CAGTTTAAGAGCTCTAAACTGAACTGACTGATAAGACGAGAGCTCTAAACTGACACTGAACTGACTGCCAAGCAATCAGTCAGTCAGTCAGTCTCATCAGTTTGGATTGATTGTTAGCAACTCTGCATTACTGCTTGCTCGGATCTGTCACCGTTGTGCTAACGTCCACATTTGTACAGCATTCTGCTTGGACGCCTTTTTCCAATGTTCAGCCTTTCAGGGTCCAGCCTTCCGCTGATCAGCCGTTCATTGTTTGAACCAGTTCCCCGCTGTTCAAATGCCTCTCTCACTTCTTCCTCCCCTTTTCCAACGGCTATGATGGCATATAACCTCGTTGATCCTGTGTCAAACAAGACACTCATCGCGTTGATAGCACTGATCACCCATTATATTGTTCACCGTGGCGAGTGGGATAACACCTTCCATATAGTCATCGGCATTTGGGTCATCCTTTTTGGAAGTGTTGCATGTTTCGAATATATAGCCGCTACGAGTACCAGGAATGTGAGCATTGCAATACAGCTCGCAGCAAGGACAGCTTCCCTCTATTTCGCTATCCTGGTGGTCAGTATACTGCTACATAGAGGGCTGTATCATCGCTTGCGAAAGGTAAGCATATGAGAATATCAGCAAAGTCTTTCTCGTTAATACTTTCAGATCCCTGGGCCTTTTTTTGCACGATTCTCGAAGTCGTACGGCATTATCGCTGGTGTTCTTTCTACCAATTTTCAATACTTCAAATGGCTTGAGTCTTTACACAAACACTATGGAGTGGACGTCATCAGAACTGGTCCTCGGGGTGAGTCTTGGAAGTACAAATTCATGTGAAACATACACTGACTTCGTATATCTACCTTGGTAGAGGTCACTATCTACTGTGCAGATGCAATTGCTTTGGTCCATGGACCCACTTCCAAGTGCAGCAAAAGTACTATTTACTCAACCACAGGTAAGTGGTGCCTGTACGAGATGCATGCGAGACGTACACTGAATTCGTATCTCCACATCTGCAGGGGAAGTTGCAGGCCGGGCTCTTCACTTCACGACGAACAAGGACGAACACCGACAAAGGCGCAAGGTCTGGGACCGTGCGTTCAATGCTAAAGCCCTCCGCGAGTACGAGCCTCGTTTGAACCGGCATGCACTTGCTCTCATATCGAGACTCAAAGGGCAAGCCACATTTCCCTCAGTGCGAATTACAAACTGGGTAAACTTCTACAGCTTTGATGTAATGGGCGATATCGGCTTCAACCGCAGCTTTGGCATGGTGGAGTCGGGTGAAGAAGCTCATGTCATTAAGCTGTTGCACGATAGTCAGGCACCATTGAGTGTTCTTGCACATATTAGTTGGGCTATGCGCCTCATCGCACGAACACCAATTGGATCCCAGCCTCTCTTTGAGCACATGGACTGGAGCGCTAAAGTTCTTGAAGAGCGAAAGAAGGTAGGCGCCTCCAAATCAGCACTTTTGTCTCAGTTGTATCTACTCACAAATAACAGAATACTCCTAAAGAGAAAGACGTCTTCTCTTGTTTGTTAAACCCGAATGAGGACCAGATAACCCCTGAAATGAACGCTGACTCACGACTTCTTATCATAGCTGGCAGGTAAGTGACTTGTGTAGACCTCTCACGGCCTCCGCGTAGCTTGATTCATTTCTCGATACTAACATGGGAATTAGTGATACTGTCTCTGCGACGCTATCTTACCTGTTGTATGAGTTGTGCAAGAATCTCACAGTTCAAGCCAAACTTCGCGCTGCTATTGATACGGTTAAACCGGAGAAAGCGCATCTCGACGTCCAAGATGTTGCGGAATGTGCATATTTAGATGGGGTTATCAACGAGACTTTACGCCTCCACCCTGCTACTCCATCTGGCCCTCAGCGTGAGACGCCGCCCGAAGGTCTCACCCTACCTGACAGCACGTACATACCTGGCAAGGTCAACGTCTGGATTCCTATCTATAGTTTGCAACGCGATCCACGCTACTGGATGGATCCTCTTTCCTTCATGCCTGAGCGATGGACCGATGAGAGGCCCGGTGCCACTATTGAGAAACGCGCTTTTCTACCCTTCCTTACTGGACCTTGTGAGTGATATGCCTGTACAGACTGTATCTAAGACATACACTGATTTTGTACACCTACATTTAGACAACTGCATCGGCCAGAAGCTGGCCATGATGGAGTTGCGTAGTGTTACGGCTAATTTGGTTCGATCATTCGAAATCACCTTTGCGGATGGTGAAAATGGAAGCACTATCGAGAACAAGAGTCGAGACTGCTTTACGATGACTGTAGGAAAGTTGGATGTCAGAATCAAGCCACGGTATGAAGATTAGAAAGGTCATTGCTTCAGCATTTGGTTTCAACTATTTCTTTGTGCTGGCGTTCGGTGACAGTGGCTCTGGGAATGGTATATGTTTGCAGAGCTGAGCGGGTCAGGTGTCATCTGCAACCAGTTCCATCTTTAGTCTCAAGGCAGTAGCTTCCTCTAACTATATCTGTCCTTCATGCAATCTTGCTGTATACCAGTACATCCCGATAAACACTGCATGCTTCAACATGTTTCCCCATCTCTTCGTATACCTGCATCTGCCGCTTTCCCTACAATGTAGGGCGGAGAAAAAGAGTGTCGAGCATTCGCATTAAAATCTGTTGAAGAGAGGCAGCAGGACTAGAGTACTGGGGAATAGGACTGGGGATAGCGTAGTTCTCCAGTGAAGGTTAGGTCATTCAAACTAATGTATCCTTTGTCGCAGTTACATCTCCTCGCTTGACTTAACCTTTATTCAGAGAAGGGAGCCTAATTTTCGCATAACCTTAAATATCGTGATTGTCAACTGACCTTTCCCTCCCATTGCGACTGACTAAACACAAAATTCTCTTGAACGACAAAACCTGAGAATAGCGACTCGCCAGCCTCTAACAGGCTTTCGGCTTTCGATATTAGCAATACCGCATACCGCGACAGCAAGTTTATCGACCATTCTTGTCACCATCTATGCCGAAATATATATCCTCCGATTTTGATTACAGTTTTTTCCGCACTTTCTAGTTCTTCGTCGGATGGTGAAGGCAAAGATCAATCAGACAAACTAGTCCACAGCGCCATTCCTGCAGCAATAGTCAACAAATCTACCATGGCCAAACTCAACATTCTGCAATCATCTACCAAAATCTACAACGAACAGACACACAGTTTGTCCGCATATTTTCGGGGTACCTTTTCCAACTTCAATCCTGACGTTGTCGAACTCAATAAGGTCGGCATTACTTACGAGTATGGGGATCATTACTTTGTCCTAGTTCAGTTACCACATCCCCAAACCAGCGAGCTGATCTTCCAATGCGGGTTCTTGAACCGCGCATATGTTGGACCATATCTCGTCTACGAGTGGAATTCGCTTGTTAAGGAACAGATCGGGGAGTGGGGGGCCGCTGTTTATGACGACGACGGGAGGTGGGTAAGTCATGATTGTACGAGACGCACATGAGACATACACTGACTTCGTACCTCTGTGTTCGCAGGATGTTCACAGTAGTATGTTGCAGTTCATGCGTTATCTTTGTGGTGAAGTAGCAAAGGGCCTTCAATATCAAGAGTTTTTGTATACGCTGAAACGGGGTACGAAGTTGGGTGCAGAGAAAGTGAAAGCACAACTCTTAGAGAGATTTATGATAGTATTTGGAAGGGTGGAGTCAGACATCAAAATGAAAGAGGAAGAAACGGGTAAAGAGGCGGACAAGTTTATGATGGAGTTCATGGTGTTTGAGACATGAGAGGGTAGAGTTCTTTCAGTAGGAAGTTGACTTTACGTAGAGCTTTGGTGGGCATGACATAGTGTAATCATGGAACGGGAAACTGAATGCAAAGACTCTGATACGGGTATTGAGAATCTAGTATGTTCAAGAAGGGTGACGTATTCTGAGCCACCGCTATTCTACTCTGGCTTTTCTTTGCCTCCCATTCATTTGCTCTATCTGTAGCTTGAGCTAAAGAGTAATAGTGGTAGCAGTATAGTGAAAGCCTGTGGTTTAATCGTCGTCCGCGTAGATAGCGCTTACAGAAATGTCACATGCCATGGAATTCCACTCTCGCCTCTAGATATATACAGGCATTATCGTGCCTTTGGTGAGCCAAACTACTAACAAATCCTGGAATCAACAAAACAACCGAGATAATTCTACCTATCTTGTATCTTACCATGGACACTAGATCATACCGACAATCACCTGAACTCAAACCCCCTAAAGAGCTGCGTCGCTGGAACTATGATGAGGAAAATAGGCTCCTCTACCTTATCAAAGTAGAAGAGAAAACTTACAAAGAAGCAGCAACCAGTTTGAACCGTTCCATACAATCTGTACAACACCGCTATTCAATTATCCGACAGAGGGACGAAAGCGCTTCCATATCCTGGACTGCCGAACTCGATTCCGCAATAATTGATGGCAGACGCCGTGGGCTGACTCCCAATGAGATTGCCCAGGAGATCAACATACCGGAAAAAGCCATTCAATCTCGATGGCAAGCCCTCCGGGCAGCGAAGAAAGTCCCCGAAGACGTTCTTGACCTTCGGCGGCGCAAACCGCTTCGTGATTTTACTCCCCAGGAAGACGAAACCATCTTAAATCTATATGTAGAAGGGCATGATGATAAGGATATAGCGGTACTTGCGGGTATCGAAGGGAAGAGTCAGACGGAGATTATGATAAGAAGACGGAAGCTGGTAGCTGAGAGTTCACCAATATATAGAAGATTGATTGAAGAACAGCTGCATAAAACGGGGAAGGAGGATCTTACTTACAAGAAGAAAGAAAAGATAGATACACTGGAATCGGCGGTGAACAGACAAAAGTATGGATGGATGGATGGATGAAGTAGACAAGGACGACGGTCCGGCATTGGGCTAAGTAATTTTATACAGGCTGCAATCTAAGTAGGTCTTGAGATAATTGGCGCAAAATCACAGACGCTCACGCTATTGTTCCCGATCGGAGTTTCGACTCCACCATGGAGCGTCGCTTTCACCCTTACTCAATAATTGCCTTAGGCTCCGCCTAACCCTTTACTCTTGCTACTACCACCCTTGATCTCATCATCAGCGTCCCGCGGAAATTGCACGCCCATCGCCTTCATCATGTTGCCTGCCGGGCCTGCCATCCCAGCTTGGCCTTTGAAAGCCTTTAACATGTTATCGGCGAGGTTGTAGTCTTCGTCCAAGAGTTCATCGTCTTCATCCTCCTCATCCTCCTCAGCAACGTCCTGGAGCTTTCCTTTGCCTTTCCCATTACTATCAGATAGAAGCCCTGTTCCTGGTTTGTGGTCGGGCTTGGAGTTGATGTTCAGTGCCCCGTGGCTGAAGAGCTCAGCTTCCATCATCTCAGTGAGTTTTTGGATCTCCTCGTCTTCTTCCTTCTCAGCGTCTTGTTCGAGAGCTAACGCACGAGCTTCATCAGTGAGGATGGCTTTCTCAGCTGCGGGCAACATCATGAACTTTTCGAAAGCTTGCTCGTATTCCGCGTACTCCGCGTCAGCCTCTGCGTCCTCCTCGTCATCTGTGCCGGCATCATCTTCGCCATTGCTGGTCTTCGCTTTGCCTTTGCCTTTGCTCTTCGTATCGTTCTCAGCTGTAGAGTCACTATCTTCAGGATCCTCCCATCCTCTGTCACCAGCGTCCGAATCGTTGTCCACATCCATGGGGTCCAGACCTCCATCGGCACCCTCCGCACCAGCTTCGTTGTCAGCCAGGAAGTCGTTGAAGCGTGCAACCATCTTTTTCAAATTCTCCTCCGCATTCTTATCGCCAAACGCGCCTTTTGCGCCACTTCCTTTACCTTCCAGCTCTTTCTCAAACTCCGAGAAGTCAATATTGAGCCATGCCTCATCGTCCTCACGTTTGGGCCAACTAGCAATTTCGGTGTCAGTAGGAAGTGTGTCGTCACCATTCTCCAGATCTTCTAAAAGAAGCGCAATCTCGCGCGTCGGTTTACGAGAGGCGTACAAGGAGTGTGACAGGAGCATTTGCATGCCTGCTGCGATTTTGATCCCGATCTCTGCTTTCTCAATTGGTTTACCAGATTTAGCGAGCTGCTCTAATGCTGTATCCCATGGCGCCTGGGGCTCCCAGTGCTGGCCTAGAAGCTGAGCATAAAGGACTTTGGTAAAGCGAACGCTGACGTCGACAAAATCTTCCGGCGGGAGTGTGAGAGGAATTTTGGACTTTTCGGGTTGTATAAGCCGGATGGAGATGGGATCTCGAAGATAAAAGGCTTCGACCACTGGTGCGATATAGGATGGATTGGTATGCAAGATATGCGCGACTTTTCTTGGCAGTGGAAGTGTCGCATGGTGCTGATTTTCAGATATCGCAGCAGGATATCCAGCTAAGCGATGAAAAGCTTCTTTCTCTACTTTGCCGTATTGCTGTGGACGTGCTGGTGTCTCATCAATAATCTGTAAAGCCTGCACTTGCGTCAAAGGGGCAGGGTCTTCTTCCTTCCCCAATGGGATTATCAGTAGGCGATGACTATTAATCCAGACTCTGTTCTCAGCAACCTCAGGGTTCAACCATTTTGGTAGCGCGTTGGCAGCCTCGATTAGAAGAAACTCTCCATCGCTGTCATAAATGCGGATCCATGCATCCTTGAACTCTTTGCTTAACTCACGCAGGAAGTAGACTATAAGCCATTCGTCTGCGACGCTATCACCGTAATTAGATCGTCCTTTTAACAGCCACTGATGTTCTTCTCGGACTAGGTCAAGCGCAAGAGAATCACGCTGCCATATGTACTCCTTCAGGAACTTCTTTTCCAGGACGGTCAGGGCGCGTTGGAAGGCTTGTAATCTTTCCCTTGTCTGGATGTCCGAGAGCCTAGAGTCGATGATGAAGACCGTGTATTCCACGACATCATCGGGCAATTTCTTAGGAAAGCCATCGAAACCTTCACCAAACCATTTGAGGTCATCCTGAGGGCCGTCCATTGTATTCGGCCAGGCGTTTGTGAAGGTAGTCTCGATCCGATGGCCCGAGAACTTAGGTCTGTACGCTGGCTGTTGTCCAAAGAGTGATATAGATCTACCTCAAGCGGAAAGGACGAAACCTACAGTGAGTTTTCTGGTGTAGGCGGCGCCGACGTAACGTGACATACGGGGAAGACACGCTTTTCGGCTTCTTGCCTACATGGGCTAGCGGTGGGCTGCATCCCTGTCGTGGTCCGAGCGTCCCAAACAAACAACATCCATACTATCATGAGGTGGAACATGAGGCACTCGCACGACTGAGGTGCGCCCCAAAGGACCTTTCTATTTCTCTCACTCATGCGTTGCTAGAGTACATTACATATCATGGCGCACCTACCGGACACACCTCGCACAGAGGTTGGCGACACGACGCGCTTCACGATCAACGAGCCCTCGTTCAGCATGGAAGAGACGTTCCATGCGCCGACAGACCGCGACAACCTCTTCAAACAGATGAGCGGCGCCCGAACACCCCGACAGCCGCTTGCTGCCCGACGTCAGCTGAACGCGAAAAACGAGTTCACACCCATGCTGAAGAGCGCAACCGCGAACCGGACGCGCCAGGTCAACGGACTACTCGACGGAAAGCTCACAACACCCGCCGCGATGAAGCCAGGCTTCCAAGTCAGCAACACCCCGCTGCCCGAGGCGAGCACATTCGACATACATTCGAGTTCCTTCGCAGATTCCGTCGATGGCCGGACGCAGCTGCCAGACCCCAACTCGAGTACTATGAGTACACCTACAGCGCTACCGAGACGGGCGGAGGGCGAGATGGACAACGGAAATGGCAACGTACTTACTTTGAGGGAGCAGGAGGCTGTACGTATATCCCCGCTTAGCCGCCCTCACTCACCTGGAGTATCCTAACACAATTGCAGCGTCTGGAGCAGATCGACAAGGAGAACTTCGGACTCAAGCTTAAAATCCATTTCCTCGAAGAGAACCTGAAAAAGATGGGCCCTGAGTTTAACCGACAGGCCATGGAAGAGAACATCAACCTTAAGTCGGAGAAGGTCACAATGGCGCGCGATATAAAGAACTACTCGAAAGACCTCAAAGCCGCCGAAAAAGAGCTAGACACATACAAGCAGCAGTTACGGGAGTACGCCGAAAAGGTCAAACGGCGGCACGTCGATGAGGGCATGCGCGAAGAGATGGATGAGCTTCGAAGGCTGGCCGACGAACGTGCCGACGAGGTGGAGCGCCTTGAAAGGAAGCTGGAAGAAGAGAAGGGTGTCGATGAAGAGTTGGATAAGGTCAAAGCAGACCTGGAGCACACACAAGCGGAGCTCACAAGAAGAGACGAGTTGCTAGACGAGCAGGAGGAGCAGATGAGAGACTTGGAGGAGCAGCTGAAGAACGCGCAGAATTCACAGTTTGCTGACGACGAGGAGAAGGACCGCCAACTCAAGGACCAAGCTGAACGCATTGCTGAGTTGGAAGCACAGTTGCAATCGGCCAAACAGTCACAAGAAGATAACTTTACGGAAAAGGACCGTCAACTGGCCGACCAAAGTGAGAAGATCGAGCATATCCAGGAGCAGCTTCGCGCAGTCGAACGTGAAAAGGAGGCCGAGATCAACGCCCTTAGATCCAAGCTTGATTCCGCTACTCTCGAAAAGGATCAGGAAATACGAGAGTTGAACGAAAGCCTTGACGAAGCCGAAAACGACCTCGAAGCCGCAGAGGAGCAAAAGCGTCGTGAGATTGCCATGGTTGAGGAGCGCTTACGTTCGATGGAGCGTGAGAAGGA